GTGTTAAATGATATTGGTGTTTGGTGATTGGCATCATCCATCCACATACATACATGTGATTAAAAATAGGATGTGGGGTTTTCTGAAAGATAGGATGTGAGATGACTAAATGAGCAGTAAATACTGTGGAAAGATAGAGACCAGAGAGAGAGAAGTTACTATTTTTTTTTGGACAGAGAGAGAAGTTACAATTTCCAACTGGGGTTTGTGGGAAAGGGAGGCACCGACACGAGTCGGTGGCTTAGAGGAGTGAGAGAGAGAGGTGGTGAACCATCTGGACACTGGAAATTATGGCACTCTCTGATTTTTTTAAACACTAGGTCGAAAATATAGAAACTTGAAACTGGGTTGGTTAAATACATTGACCATAGTTAAAGACCAAGGTTTTAAATTCAAGTTTTTCAACCTACAGGTTCAGTTTTACTCTCTGCAACCTTTCCGGTTTCAAACATGGGATTCTTTGCTACAGTCAATAAGTTTATTTCTTTTTCTTTTTCCTATGAATCTGAGTTAAATCTGTTTGGATGTGCAGTAAATGCAGGTTGGGCATGTGGGCAAAGTCAGATTGAAAAGTGAAGAAGAATGCAACAATAATGTATTTGCCATGCCATTCTTGCTTGTTTACCCTTTTGTCTGTGTTCCATTTTTATGGAACGCCAAGTTTGTTAACAATTCTTCTGGAAATAGCTACTATTATTACTAGAAATTTATCTTATTCTTGTGACTTTGTTTGTGTGGGATCTTTCATTAGTTTCGTGTAACACACTACTTGATTTAGATTGGGATAAGGATTTGGGACCTACTATCTAGATAAACAAAAAAATGAGTTGTTGTAGACCTACGACATGGGCATTGAGATTAGGTGCAACATTATAACCATGAATTATAATGGCAAATGAATCTCACATGCATTAATGGTTGATATTCGCGTGCATGAATTTGTATTTTGATTTTAGGTCCCATTCAGTTCGCGCTAAGGATTTGATGGAAAATTATTTACTATGTCTTTTTTTTTTTTTTTTCCCAATGGATGAGAAATTGAAAATTCTTTTCACATGTTTGGTAATACTAGGAAAGTATCCAGAAAACACAACTTTATTTCCCTTTCACGTTTGGTTTGTCTAGGAATAGAAACAAATTTGTATTTTTTTTTTTGTTAAGAAATTCTATGATTGCATTCATAATTCATCCAAAAAAGTCACTAGTCACAAATGACTAATACAAACTAGCCACAAAAAAACCATTACAATAATGGAGCCACCCAAACTTTGTTTAGTTTTTCAATTATACCTCTATTACAAATATGAAATAAATAAAATAAAAAAGGAATGCATTTAGTGCTAAATTGTTCATAGGTACAAATTGGTCATGAAAAACATGCATATAATGATGGTCTTATTTCTCTCTGTTTTTAATAAGTGAAATGAACAAAAGAGATAAAATAAACAAGACAATGCAAGTTTTTCTCTTGTTATAGGAAGGCAATTTGGTGGTACCCATGTTCTGTACAATTCCTAATTTTATTAATAAGTATATATTATGCTTTGGAAAATATACTTTTTTCCTTTTGACTTTCCATGGTTAAAGAATAATTAATTAATCTAGAAAAATCCTTTGCTTTCAACTCACTGGAGCAGAATAGTGAACCCGACCCACGCAAAATGAGGATGCATAGATATAATTTGGATGCTGTGGAAGTGCGAATCTATGAAAAGGTTGTGTGTGCAGTGACTATGAGCCATGCTAAACAGACAAGAAAAAGAGAAAAAGAAAGAGAAGACAGCAAGCAAAACAGGCGAGAGAGAGAGAGCAGCAGCAGTGGAGACAGAGAGGGGGCAGACAGGCTAATTTTTCCACCTACTCCAAATTACAATGGTAAAAAGGTCAAGTGGGGTCTCTGTACTTTTTATTCTTTTTTGGCTCAACTTGCGCGTGGGAGCCCTGCCCCAGTCCATTTTTCAGACTAAAAATGATAACAAATTATTTTAGTAAAAATATACGACATTCCTATTATTTTACTTTAACCAGCATTACTGTTAGATTTTAGATATTTTAATTTTGAAAATTGTAGAAGCCACAACGTTTCCTCAATATACAAACTTACCAATTTTTTATCAAACTAAATTGAGAAGAATAAATTACTATAAAAGGTTGGACTATTAAGCATTTACCTTTCTTAATATAAGTCTTGCAATATGCAAACGACCCACTAATAGTTTGGCAAGTTTCTGCATTTGAATTCTAGTATCTGTGTAGTGTGTGTGAGTTTAGTATTTTATCGCCCCTTACAATATCATCATAAATCTCAAACTATTTTAAATAACTTAAAGAAAAATGAGTTAAGTCTAAACATTAAAAAGCAAAAAAATAAAATAAAATAAATCATTATTGTCTCTAATTAATTTGAAGTTTGAACACAAAAAAAAAGTCGATCGGAACTTTCTCCTCTCTTCTCTCTCAACCCAGACACAACTTCAACCTTCAATCCTCCATGATGACTTAGTCTTTTGTGATTTGGGTTGAAGTGGGTATTGGATATATTAGAGTTATATATGTTTCTTTTTGGAGGTGGAGTTGTTAGCCATGGTGGACACATGTGGGTTCCTGGAGATGTTGTGGCCTTCTCTGGCCGGATGAATGATGGGCGGTAAGGCCTTTTTATTTTGGGTGGTTCTGGTTCCTTGTTAGTGCAGAATTTGTCGGTCTTTCATGATCTCTATGGAGCATTGGTGCTGCAATGAGCCTTCTGGATCCTCGTACTTTCAACTCTCAATGAGCTGAACTTGATTTTGTACTTTATTTTTCTCACTGTCTTGTTGGATTTAATTTTTCAGATTATTGTATGCATGAACCTCCATTTAGGGTGTGTTCTTACCGTTAATCTCAATCTCGTGTACTTGCTCATGTTATAATGAATTTCAGCTTGTTCTAAAAAAATAAAATAAATTAATTTGAACATTATTTGATTTTGTAAGTCTCACTTGTCACATCATCTTCTTGTGAACTAAATTTAGAAATGTTTCAATGCCTCTACCAAGGTCCCTCTAGTGCAAAGACCTATATGCATGAATACAGAGGGTGTAATGCAAAGCACAAGAGTGGTGGATTTAATTCATAACATTGTTTTGGGTCATATATGAGTGAGAATAAAGACTTGCTACTACACTCTGCATGCATGCATGAATATTGTAGAACTTCCCCATCTAGCACACTGGATTATTTAAGTCTTCCCCAAAAAGATGATCACAAATAAGTACTTTGACCTACCAACCAAAACAAAAATGATGCACATTGACCCTTGTACATCATGCTTCAAGGAAAGAAGGAAAATAAAAATAAAAATAAATAGAATTTCATGTCTTGTTGTGTTTAATATTTTTCATTTAAAAGTAATGGGCCACTAAGTATTTTATGTTAAAAATTTGTTACATACTTCTAAATTCTAATATCGACCCCTGAATTGCATCTAAAAGACTACCAACACATTTAATGAATGCAATCCAATGGCCAAGATTTTGTAACCAATCTTTAACATAAAATACTTATCGAAGAATCTCGCAAAAGTAAAAATACATAAATATTCTCTCTTAGATTTCTTCTGGAAATGGCCTTTAGGGTGCATCAAAGGTTAAACAAGGACAAGCCCACCACCACACCATCTACCACCAAGATTCATTCACTGCATTGAACTCTGAAATTTCGAGGGTTTTTTTGGTAATTCTACTTAATCTTTCCTCAAAACTTAAAATAATGCCCCCCAAGCACACCATTATTTGAAAACATCCATTTTGTGATTGTAGAGGGAGCATCCCTAAACAAACTGCAAGGAAATTAAGAAATCTGTATATTTTTTCAGCATAATCAAGAATCAAGACTACTTGATTTAGGGCATCAAGGGAAAATACTTTTTTTTTTTCTTTATTGGATCAAGGGCAAAGATAGAGATGGACAAACTAGAGGGCATGAGGATGCATATATTAATAATGAAAGGAAATTAATTAATTAATTAATTAATGTTCATGGAAAGTACTGAACCTTGAATTAGGAACTAATTAATCTCTCTGGAGTGGAAGTAGGGCTTTAAGAGCACTTCCACTCAAGGTGTCATGCCCTAGCAATATTTTTTTTTGCTTTTCCACTTATTGTCATGGCAACGAAAGGTCAATTACTATTCACATGGGATTAATTTTATTTTTATGTATGAGATTAATATAAAATAAAATAAAATTATATGTATATATAAAAAAAGATTCTGAATTTTTTTGGCAATTTTTCAGATTTTTTTATTTTTATTTTATCTACATCAACGTCCTTGGGCAACAGTATGGGCTATTCTTGCCTAAGAGCCTACCCTGTCATCGCGGAGCCCACCATCTGCCCGGGCTGAATTTGTACGGTGGAGTGGGTTTCTTCAACCTAGGGGGACCTTTTGCCTAGGCTAGCTTTGCGGTGGAAGTGCTCAAAAGAGAATGCTCAGTAGAAAGCAGGCCCTAAACCCTTAAAAAGAAGGGCATCTCATGTTCGCTGTCCTTGGACAGAAGGGGTGTTGTTTGGGTGTCTTTTGACTATTGGGTGGACAAGCAAATTATCACACATTCGAACGAATCGTTAATGGTTTTCCTACAAACCACAAAAACATTAAAGATGAAGAGGTTCTTACCCAAGTTACCTAAATTTGTTTGGCAACCTGGATTCTGCAAGGCTAGATGTAAATTCTGGTTTAATAAGAATGCAACAAAAACCAGCCGAGGTCCATACCTAAATTCTGGTTTGGTTATCTGTTTAAAATGATAACTTTGTTATTGCATCATCATGACTTGAGATCGAAACCGGACCTGGACTCTTACCCTTGAAACTCTCCCTTGTCTTTCAATAAAAAATAAAGGTTTCAGAACAATTCAAAGAACAAGAAGCTCTATATATGCTCAGATTCTAAATGAAATAGTAAATTCTTATCTACTTTGTTTGGTCTTTTTCTTCTTTTGAGGTCACTTTTCCACTCAGAGTGAAATATTAAGATCAAAAGAAGAAAAATGCAGTAACACAACAACAAGACTGCATATTCAGTATTCATTACAGGAGCAAAAGGCAAAAACAAGTTAATGGATACAAAAGAGGAGTATACATTTCCAATCTAGTAACTGTTACTCTTATAGTGGCTTATAACCTGACACAAAATTGACTTCTTCTTCTACACCAGATGCTCCAGTAGATCTCACACGACATTCTACTCCCTGGGAAATGAGAGTATTGGAGGAATGAATCAGTTAAGAAACAGGACAAACTACAGTTATCCATCATAAAACAACTCTACGATAATCTAGAAAGCTTGTTAATGAGGAGGTCCTGCAATGTTTTTCATCTGATCATAATACTATCAAAGAAAATATGCTTTCTAAGACTTGAAATGTACAACTCTAAGTTTAAAAGACTGTCTATATAGTTATCAACTGTTAAATCATGATTGATAAATCTTGTACAAGAAACTAATCCGTGAAAAGTTATGCATGTATGAACAGGACATAAATTATGACTACTAGTTATAGAAATCATGCTGCCACAGCAGTATTCATTCACATAAGTAATCCAAGGTGAGCAGTATCATTATTCTCTTGACAGTTATCCCCTTTCTCATGGAAATGATGCTTCCCCCATGGTAATAGAGGTATGGTTCAGGTAGAAAGCCAAATAAGTTCTAAACACAAAGATGATCATGAAGACAGGGGATGAGCTGATGTATATCAAAACTTGCATTATATCTCAGTATGCTCTTATTTAGGAAGGCAACTGTGAAACACGTCATAACTTGCCCTTTTTCCTCTTTAAAGAATTATACAATAACAATATTGGAATGTGACAAAACTGCAACTCAAGGTACACAAAATGTTAGTACACCACTCTTAAGATTTGTGCAATCAATAGGACAAAGTAAATCCCAAAATCATCACTCAATAAGAATAATCAATAACACCCTGCTAACAATGACAGAAATGGGTGATGTGATCAGCTAAAGCTTGGCTCTCAAAACACAGACCAACTTGGGATACCAACTCTCTAATAGAGCGTGGGACCCATTGTATTGGTGGGCTCCACCTCTATTAGAGAGTTGGTACCCAAGTTGGTCTCCCAAGTTGGTCTCCCTAGCATGACCCATAAGAATAATCAATAACACCCTGCTAACAATGACAGAAATGGGTGATTTGATCAGCTAAAGCTTGGCTCTCAAAACACTATCAGGAATGTTGTTGATTAAAATACAAAAAGTTAACATAGGAGGCACATCAGGATGCAGTCTTCTCAGATGGGAAAAAGGGATGCATCTAGGAAATAGACAATATGGGGAGACTTAAGTTCAGAGCGAGACCTTTACAATTAACATGAAGGATGAGGGATTGGAGGTAAATGGCCCCAAGATAACGTTAAATCAAAACTACAACACCTGCTAGAGATTTGCTTAATTTTGTAGAGATAAATATACCAAGTTTGAATGCCCCTCTCCCATTGATATAAATAAATAAATAAAAGTTTTTTAGCTTCACGGAGAGACTCTGAACAAAACCAAGTTTTTTAGTTTGAATGCCTATCTGCTTAGTTGGTTCCCTCAAGTAAGGAAATTAAACTAGTTTCAGTCAAACTAAACCAATGCATGATCCCATCTAAGTTTGAACCATCACTACACAAGGCAGTAAAATGAGAAGAACAGAACCACATTTCATCTCTTCGCTTAATATATTTCAATATGTGCACAAACTAACAATCTAAGTTTATGCAAATAGTTTAAAGAGAGAGAGGGACAGAAATGGGCAGAGGTCATACCACTTGATTAGCCAGCCAAAGAGAAAATGCTGCATAATGGGTACCTTCTCCAAGACCTCAGCTTTATACATCTTAAGCAACCCACTATTCACTTTGTTCCAATTAGGCACCCCACTGATATCATCCAACAAAGGCGAATGCTCCGAAAACGGACCCTTCTTCACCTTCTTAATAAACTCAATGCCCGAAATATACAAATACTCCTTGGAAAAATTCTCCACTATATCATCATTGTGAATCGACTTGGGTTTCATGTACTTGTGCCCAATCAACTGCGACGACCCGAAAATGAACGGCAAGAAATGGTAGTCGTCGAGACCCCAAACGCCGTGAGACCCCGCCGGCTCCAAGCAATACACCAACTGCAGCTTCCTCATCAAGTCCAAATACTTCACTAAAACCCGGGCCACAACGGCCGGATAATCTTCTTCTTTAATCACGCCCATTCTCGCGAGACAGTACAGCCAAGCAGCGAAGTTGGTCTCGTGTCCAGTACCGTAGTCGATTCTGCTAGGGTTTCCAAAGCTATCTGTGAAATAAGGGACTATCTCGATCGTAGAAGCGTGGAGATGCTCCGGGAGGAACTGGAGCACGAGGGAGTCGCTGGTTTGGGACAAGCGCTCGTGCCAGGAGCGGAACGAAACGTTGCCGTATCGGGCGGCTTGCTTGGTGGGTGGGATTTCGTCGACCCACTGTATTAGGGTTTGGAGAATGGAGACGATGGTGGCGATCGTGGTAGATTCGTGGCATGGGTCGGAGATTTTTTTGGCGCGAATGGAATCGGAGAGGGCGGCGACGAAGCCGAGGAAGTGCTTAGGGTTGGGGGGGAGGTTGATGGCCGGGGCTCGGATTGGGCGGTAGTTCGGGGGAGGGGAGATGTCGGAGAAGGAGGGAGGAGGAGCGGCCATAGGGGTTGGGGCTCCGCATTTGCAGCAGGTTGGGGTGGGAAGGGTGGTGGTGCGTGGGGATCCTGAGGAGCTAGGGTTTTGCAGGTAGTGGTGGTGGTGGTCTTCCGTTTTGCAGGAGGTGGGCTGGTGTTGGGGTTCCATTTTTGGAGGAAATGGAGGGAGCGAGGAAGCAGTGGCAAACTGGGGAGCAGTGAGGTTTGGTTAATTGGTGTTATGGTGGGGAGAAGGTGATGGGCTGTGGTCAAGTTTGGATATTCATGTTTCACAATGTTTTAAGCCCAATTCTAATTTTTGTCTTTGGATCAAAAGCCCAATTTCATTTTCCGTGTTACTACGGAATATTCTGTATTGTAGTTCAAATGATTAAAAGAAGTTACGAATACAGAATGTATTTGAATTATAGTTTTTATTCTTCTCTTTAATTTTCGTCTTGTAAGTTTGCTTATGCTCTTGCTCTTGTTGTTGTTGATACATGTTCTTATTCAACAATTTTCCTGAATTAAATGTACAATTTCACATTTATCACCCGAAAAAGAAGAAAAAAAACATTCAATTATGCATAACACTATAATAATCTTCTAGCAACACGCACAGGTTGACGCCATTGCTCAGACGAGTGTTTTACACGTGGAGGTCTGCGGGTCCCACATCGCCGGGAGCAAGTGCTTGCGTCCACGTACACCCACCGCGTTGTAGCTAGCTCCCGTCGTTTTGTCCAAAACGACCTCCCCGGTATAACCCGGGTAAGCCCCTGTCCCAAAAATACCCGTACACGCGCTCACAGCCTCTAAAGGCGCGTCTCTCGTACCCTGAAAATACCCGTTTTCAAACGGGTTCGTCACCGCTCCCGCCAAAACCGTTGCAAGACTGATCACCATTCCGTCAACCCCTACGTCGCCGTTAGGAGGAACTAACGGCGCCGTCTGCGGCCCGTAAATGGGCTGGTGAAACGGCCACGCGCACTGACCCGGACACTGGCTGGCCGGGTTTCCCACCCACGCGTACGCCAGCCTGCCCGTCTTTCTCCCCTCGCCGCCCGACCCGTGCGACCCGCACCGGCTCATGCAGAACCCGTCAACCGCCACATCAGCGTCCGTGAGAACCATGTTGACCGCTGCGTTTCGACCTGTTGATGCTTTGGCTGCTAAAGCCGCCAGTTTTTGGTCCGTGAGTGTTTTCCCGAGAGAGTATGTCTGGTCGAGGATTTGATTCCCTACAGCGACGGTGCAGGGCCCTCCCCTGTACCTTTCTGTAGTCTGCCACCACGATGAGACTGAGGGTTGCGGGGTGTGGTGGGAGCTCAGAGATTGAACAAAGTCGACCAATATGGACCGTTGGATGGGGGAGAACTTGCCATACCATACGACATTGACTGTGATGTTGCCTTTAAGCAGTGGGCCGTTGTGGTACTTGAGCATAAGTGGTTGTTGTTGGACGAGAGCTGAGAGCTTGCGCATGGTGGCTGTACAAGGGCTGAGGAAGGAGGAAAGGGCAAGAAAAAATGTGACCCAGATGGCCAAATGGGAAGTAGAAGCCATTGAGGGGAAGGTTAGAAGTTGTTGCTTGTATTTAAGTGATTCAGAGAGTGATGACTGTGAGGTGTTTGTAAGAAAGCTTGTGAGGCGTATTTATATATAAACAGACGGGTGGAGAGAGTGAGTGATGGGCATGTTTTAAATGCAGCCGCGTGGGTTTTAAGTTTTGACTTGGTTTTATTTGGATTGGATTAATAGTCAGCACAGCACACAGGGTTTTAGTTTGCGATGAACATTATTTACAGATCATATGATATATTTCGATGGAAAGGTTTATTAAGGGTAGGTCGGCTTGTCCTGCGAAGGTTTTGCTTTTGGTGGGTTTTGACTTTTGATATTTTTAATTTGGTAACCTTGTTTCTCAGCATCTTCCTGATGTCTATCCTCAACCATGTTGGTTAAATTCTATCACTCTAGTCATCTATATTTTATTGTAAATTAGTATTCTAGCTACCTATGGCCATTAGTAGAGAACTCACTATAATATTATGCACATCCGACTTGTGAATATTAATAGATCAAATTGGAACAGAAAAAGTTTGAGCATCAACAGTTTACATAATTAATAAGAGCCAAGGTTTCCAGTAATTTTTGCATGTTTCCGGTATACCACATGACTAGTGTACTACCCAATACAAAAATAAATAAATAAATATTTTTACACATCTTCTATGTGTATTAAATGGTACACTAGTCACATGATATACCCGGAACATTCAAATATTTCTCCGAGTTTCCTGTGGGTTTGGTTGATGGAACATACGTACGAACAATATATATACATGGTGGTGGTTTCACTAAATATGGCAGCTAGCTGTAGTGGCGATAAAGGTGGTTTTCAGTAAATCGAACTACCCAACTTAATTTGGTTGGCTACTATGTACCTAATTTGTTTATCAAATTTTAATGACCAAATTATGTGATGACAACACGTATTCAAACATTGGCTCCTCATTCATTCAAACATTGGTGTAGCCAAAAAATAGGCTTTTAAAAAGGGGTTATTCTTTATCAAAATGAGACCTAAACTAGGGTAGAGGTGAAGAACCTTGGAAAACCAAAATGGGGATATAAAGTGTTTTGAATTTTGATGAACAATATCGTGGGTCGGAAAGTTATACAAACCCAAGATAGTGGGGGCAGGCAGTGGGTCGGTGCTAATTTGTGATATTCTGAGCATGAGAGAGAGAGAGAGAGAATGTCGAATTGTCAGGCACTAGACTTGTCGATGTATTGGAGACGATGCACCGCCACGGCGGCCCAATTGCCTATTGCCTATTGGAGTTATATATATATGTGGATAAAGCAGAAAATTGATGGGCGGCTCATGGCTGCCAAATTTGCGGCATGTGGAGCACAATTGACACTTATTATGTACTGCATATTGGTCTTTGTATGGTGCCCCCTTCGACCGCGTTGAGTGTTCTCGAAGGAATTTTGGTTGGAAGGACCTACCACCACTGACGTTCATTATAAGTTAGACAAATAATCAAGGAGAGAAGAAAGAGCACGCACTGTATTAGTATAAGAAGAATTGTTATGGGGGACGATAATTCTACGTGACATATTTGTTAATAGACATTATTATTACGAACTTAGCTACATAAATTACATATATAGCTCAATCAAGTTCTTCTACTATTTTCTACTTTCAATTTTCACAAACATCCAAAGTTTATATAACTCGTTGTTTGTCCTATTCATACCCACCATCGTATGAATACGACGAGAATTACTCAAATGTCCACTAAATACCTCTGATACTTTAGCCATTTAGTCAGATTCTATCTCATACAGCTCTTTTAAGGTTGAGAAATTATTACTTTCAATTGGCAAATTATGTCTAAATTACACTAAATTATAGGGGATAACAAATTTCAGTAAAATGATGAATACACTGTATTAGCGAACAAGACTTAACTCATTGGAAGAGGATCAAAACTTTGGTAAAAGGATGAACATGTTGTCATAACCAACTTGCTTACCTCATATCCACTTATTACTATTTACATACTCACCAAAACAAATAGATTTACAAATATATATATATGGATATGTATTGTTTAATTTAATGTGTATAACTGATATTCTTTTTTCTTCTTTTTTAATTTTTAAATTTTTTTAATTTTAAGAATATGATGGTAAAATGCGGCATTTTTCAGAATACATCACAGATTGTCAAGCAACACTGAAGGGGAAACAAAATAATAGATTTTCATTATTGTAAATGTGATACAAAAAGAATAAAGAATATATATGTTTATTACAAAGGTCATCCCCCTAACAATTATACTTCTCTACATAATGTATACACCTAATATTTCCGAATGTCACATAAGCCATTGTATCTCCTCTAAGAACTCTTCAGAACTCTCATATCTCAAACCAGGGTAGAACAACTTGAGGTTGAAGGGTCAAACAGAGCTGGAAGCAAGAACTTCTTCCCATTAGAACCATGAGCATTGTAGCTAGCACCGGTTGTGGGGTCCACCAAGAGGTTTCCAGCATAACCAGGATAAGCCCCTTTCCCATAAACTCCAGGGCAAGCAGAAGCAGCCTCCAATGGAGCCTCTTTGGGACCTTGGTAGTAGCCATTTCCAAATGGATTGGTCACAGTCCCAGCCAAAAGGCTAGCCAGGTTGATGATCATGCCGTCTAGGCCCACATCGTTGTTGGGGGCCACCAGTGGAGGGCCCTGGGGCCCATAGATGGGCTGGTGGAATGGCCAGGCACATTGGCCAGGGCATTGGGTCTCTGAGTTTCCCACCCAAATGTAAGTAAACTTCTGGGTTTTGCCCCTAATGTGGCTGGAGCTAGAGGAAGAGCTATGGCTTCCACATTTGCTCATGCAAAAACCATCAACCAAAACATCAGATGAGGTCAAAACAACGTTGATTGCATAATTCTGGGCACCCTTTGAGGCCAATTGCTGGATTTGACGAGCAGTGAGGGATTTTCCCAGAGAGTACTTGTCATCCAAGATTTGGGTGCCCAAAGAGAGGGAGAGAGAATATTGTTTCTTGGAACTCAAGAGGTGGTAGTATTTCTCTACGGACTTCCACCACGTGGCAACAGATGGTTGGCCTGAGGTGGGTTTGGATTGGGGAGGAGAAGCAAGGGAGGTGATGAAATCAGAGACGATTGCACGCTGGGAGGGTTTGAAGTTGCCGTACCAGATCAAGTTGATGGAGAATTTGCCAGAGAGGAGAGTGCCATTGTGGTATTGAAATTTCAAAGATGGTTGCTGGGTTTGGTCAGAAGAAGTCTCAGAAAGGCTCCGAGCTGCCGAGCCCAAATGGAACAGAGAGATCAAAAGCACTAATTTCAGAAAAGCAGACATGGTTTCGTGTAAAAATAAAAGTGACAAATTTGAAACGAAGCTCAAAGTTTTTGTGGGTTTGGATTGAATTGGAGAATGGAGAAGGAAATTTGTGTATATATATAGTGGTTAAAAGATGGGGGGAAGAAAGTGCATGGAAGGAGGTAAAAGGGTTGAAACTTTAGCACGTAAAGTGGGAGAGTGAGAGGCCAGCAGGACAACGCGTTGCAAATTTCAAGTGGGTGAAGGGTTTGTTTGGATGGATGGAAAGAATTTGAAGACTTTGCTATCAGATGACAGGTTTGAGCCAGCCAGCTATTTGAATAGAATAGGGATAAAATAAAAGACAGCCCAAGGAGTTATGGGGGGGTTGAAAACGACAGAGTTTTGGGCTCACTCTCTCATGACTGTCGGGGTTTACCTTTTTGTGGAAGAGGAGGACAAAAACGCGTTTGATCTTAAGACTTTACGTGGCGAAGGGTGTGACTAATTATTGATATTTTGTCATGCAAGAGTGAATGCGAAGTTGATTACTATTATTGGTGTACATGTGGCAGCCATTGCCATAATTTTTAATGGATGCTGGTCAAAATAGATCTAGCATGTTCTCCCAACCTTTAATAAGAAAATTAAGGGAACAGAAAAAAATAAATAAAAATGAAGCAAACATATGCCATTTGGGGAGTGAAGTATGAATTTTATTTTCAAGTAGGAAAAACGGGGAATGCAAAATTAGAACATCTTTCAACATTAAGGAGAAAGATATCACTAAATTCAAAGTTAAATGATACGTCTTCAACGAAGTTAATTATGGTTTGAAAATTTGAGTATTTTTTGGTTGTGATTAACTCATCTAGTTACAATATATTAAATCAATTAGTCAACTTGATGCTTTTCCATTAAACAAAATTATAATTATGTTTTCGTCCAAAAAAAAAAAAAATTAGAATTATGTTTGTGTGGAGGAGAAGTTGTTATACAGTGAGCTACTTTTTGACCAAAAACCAAAATACAGTGCGCGACTTTTTGTCCCTCTCATACTCTATGGGCTGTCTCGTCTGTCCCAATTTACTTAGCTGGCTCATCCCTGTCATCTGCTAAGTCTTAGATTCGGTCCCAAGCCAGACCTAAACCAGTCTCTCTTTTTTGGTCGAACCTAAACCAGTCTCACACACACCCAATTTGAACCTCTTTATCTGCTATATAAATACACCCTCTCCCACTCCTCTCATCTCACACCAAAATCACAATCTCTATATCAATCTCTTTGTTTTTCAAAAACCCCAGAAGGAAAATGGCAGTTTTCGGTTTTTCTTCTTCTCTTTTGAAACTCTTTCTTGTTGCCTCTTTGATCCAAGTCTCTTTGGGTTCTAGCAGATTTTTCCAAGTCTCCTTGGCAACAAGGAGGCTCAGTGAGCTTGTCCAAGACCAAACCCAGCTCTTGAAATACCACAATGGCCCTCTTCTTTCTGGCAAAATAGCCATCAACCTCATTTGGTATGGCAACTTCAAGCCTTCCCAGAAAGCCATCATCTCAGATTTCATCACCTCCTTGTCTTCCTCTTCACCCTCCAAAACCACCCCCCCATCCGTCGCCACGTGGTGGAAAACCACTGAAAAATACTACCACCTCAGCTCCAACAAGAAGACCTCTCTCTCCCTCTCTCTGGGAACACAGATTCTAGATGAAAAATACTCCCTTGGGAAATCCCTCACAACCAAACAGATTGTGCAATTGGCCTCTAAGGGTGACCAGAAAAACGCCATCAACGTCGTTTTGACGTCTGCCGACGTGGCTGTTGATGGGTTCTGTATG